TCTTCCCATGAGGTGAGAACGAGGAGAGATTTTTTTCCTCCCACCTTACCTCCCCCGCATCCACATACATACACACCAAGCAGGCAGATGGTTTTTCTTCAAGGTTTAAGCAAGCTGGCTTTCAGTCTTGAGTTATATGCCTCTGGGCACTTTGAAAACTGCCTCTTCTGCCTATTTTTAAGACCAATTTTTTAAAAAATGATAAGCAGATTAGAATAAAGAAACCACCTGTGTAGATTTGATGAAAAAAGCAGATTATAAAGTTAGCAGTATGTTGATAAGAATTTAGTTATAGAAAGAATGCATCCTATCTTCTAGCACTTCTTTGTTCTGCTTTTTTTCCGCAAGAGAATGGATTCTTGATAAATAGATATCATCATCTCTGTAAGTCTACTTGACATTAATTTTCAATCACGTTTCCTTTTTTTAATACCCGTGAATGATTTATATATGAGAACTTTTATTCTGTTTTAGGAGTATTTTTTTTGGATACGCCAGCCTTTCTCATAAATTGTGATCGACCATTTGGATAAATTGTTAGATTCGCCAAAAGTTAAAGACGACTACAAGAGAAAAAAAAATACCACCAATCATTATGTAAATATGTATATTTAAAGTAGTCACTTTAGAGCTAAAAATAGTCTTCTTTTTTATAAAGGAGAATTGGGTCATTAAATAGTGATTCCAATGGCATTAAAATTTATTTTTCCATTGGTTCACAAATTTATGGAAATGTATTGGGTTCAAAACTGAATGTAGAAATAAACTCATTAATTATGGAAGGTTCATAATGGAAAATAACAAGCCCACAAATAGTCCTTGTATGTCCTTGTATGTCTTGCTCTGCCCTTGCATGCCATCGCTCTCCCTCAGAAGTCTGAGCTATGTCCAAAGCTGGTGTAGGCTGTGTTCCTGACAATAGCAGAGTTGTAGTGGAAACTGTCTTCACCACCTAAGTTATGGGGCCTGATACAGTGAATACTATACAAGCAGTGGGTCTGCCCGCCCTAAATTATGTCTGTTCATGTGACCCCATCATTATTCCCAAGATCTGTGCCCTTCGCCCTTGATCTCATTTCTACAGGATTTAGACAAGTGTCAGACCCTTGGAATGCTACACAATAGTGACCTTGATTCCCTGACTTTGCTGGGGAAAAAAATTGAGTTTAAATCTAGTGTTCAAATTATATGGAATGCTTTGTAACTATAGTAGTCAGAGTATTCTTGATTCAAAGGAAGCTGAAACCCTCTATCAGAGACATCTGCCTTTTGAATTGGCTCAGGTTTTTTGTCTTAAGGATAGCTAATGCATTTCTAGAAGACTAAAGCCTCTTTTTTATTGTTGCTTTTGTTGTTGCATTTGATACATGGGGAGATTTAGGTGATTCCTTCTTAATGTGTTAACTTTCCCAATATTATTTCTAAAGCTTTATCTTTGTAATTGTCAAAATACAATCCTTTCTGTAAACAAAACAAAACAAAACAAAACAAAACACTGCTTGGCAAATGGTACTGGGATAAAGATGGTGGGATGTTTAGTGCTTGATGGATGAACGAGTAGAAAGAGGGTATAATTTGGAACCAAAAGGCACCACCCCATGGCTGGTCCTGAGCTCCTTTGGGGGGAAAAGCAGTCTTTAATTACATCTGGTACTCATTAATTCTTTTTGGAGTCTCTTTCCAGATCTGTTCTCCCATCAGCCTCCCATTGAGCAACAGAAATTCCAGATGGTTCCCTCCATATGCCAGTGTTCATTCTCTTAAGTAGGATAGATTGGTCACTGACAGAGGAGAATGGAATAGCCTTGGCCAAGTCAAGATAAGATGAAAAGTATTGGGCCACAGTTAAATCAGAGGTAGTCTATCATTCGGGTTTTTAAGTGAGTTGTATAAGTAACTCTTTCTGAGTGATTTTTCTGAAGTTTGAGTAATTTCATGGAAAAAGTGCTACTTCTCGAGAACGTGGTACTTTGATTTTAACTTTCTATACCTGGAAAAGAGAAATTCTCCAAAACCTACCATTACAGCTGAGGGTTGGTCAATTTGAACCTGCAGCTGATCTTCTCTGGAGTCTACATTAGGATAAATTCTTTTGTTACTGCAACGATAGCTATAATCTCTGTTATTGTGATAAAAGTGGGATTCCTTTATAAAAATCTTTTTAAGCCATATGTTTATTTTATTTCAGCAAAATTTTGTTTTAAGAGGCATATCGATAGATTTTCCATTTTGAAGTAGATGAGAATGAAGATGGGGTCAACCTCCACATAGTAAAAAAAAAAAGGTATATTATCATTCAAATATATTGCATTGCAGTTATTTGCTTATTTGTCTTCATCTGATGATGGGAAACACGCCTTACTCATCTTTGAATTTCTGCTACCCAGAAAGATTTGACATATCATGGGGAAAGAAAATAGGAAAGAAAAATGGTGAATAGGCAGATCTAGGCAATTTCAGAGAAAGGTGACACTGAAGGAAGAGCAACGTTTCGACTCTTGTCTTTATTTTATACTTTTCCTCTGATAGTTATTGAATTTTATTTGTGGTGTCTGTGTGTGTGTGTGTGCACATGTATGTGTTCTTTGGTGTTAATTTTAAGCACCTGGAATATCATAAGTTATTATAGGTATTGTACTAGGTGCCAAGCAAATAAAAGTAAGAATGCCTGCTATGGTTTCCGTTCTCATGGAGCTTATAATAGCTGGGCTATCTATGATTTGTGGGAAATTTGTTTGTATATTTGGAGTGGGCAGGGCAATTAAAAATTTTTTCTTCTAAGAGGTTATGGGATAAAGACCACGGGGAAATTTACATTTCATGTAATTGTCACATTTAACTAAAGCATACGTTTAGAAGGTGGCTAATATGCTTTTATGTTTGTATGAGTACTATGTGGATGATAGAAAGCATTTGTTGAAGCAATTTAATTGTTTTGTACAATCAGGTCCAACAGCCAAACATTGGTAGAATACATCATAAGTTGGAAGAGGTAAAGGCCATTTGTGTAGAACTTTTATTTTCAAAAGTGCATTCTTAAAATAATTTCTGTCGTGCTTTTAAGTCATATTAAAGTCATAAACCCATAAAATGCGCGTTAAACCTAAAACATTCTCTAGATATTTCAGTCTTCTTTTGCATGTTTGTAAAGTACCAGAGGTGAAATTTATTTATTTATTTTCATGTGTTTAGCCTGATTATTCGTTTTATATGTCACTAATAAACTCTTGAGTTTAAGGTGTGCAGGAAATTAAACTCAACAGATCTGGACAACATTTATTTAATGTCTTTATCTTTGATGTCACAGTAAGCACTAGGGATTTTTAAAAATAGATAGATAGCCTCTTTACCTGAGGAAGTGATAATAGGAGGGAAAGATATAATTATGCTCAGACCAGCCCAGTGACAGTTGCCTCCTCACATACAATAATATTTATGTAATTACAATAATGTGTTTTAGTGCTCTATCATAAGAATGTACAAAGTTTTATTAGAAAGTGAAAGAAAGAGAGATTTCCACAGGGGGAGTGGTGGATCCAGTGGTGAGACTGAGAATGGCTAACTAGGAGAGCTAAAACTTAGGCTGATTCCGATGGATGAGTGGGTGGTGTTGATGCTGTTGGATCATGACCATACCTTGAGAACCGCTTTTCTACTGTTCAGTCAAGGGGAAGGAGAAAGCACGTATAGGAGAATTTATAGACCAGGCCTAAAGATGTTACACTTCGATTCTGCCTACATTTTACTAACTACAACTCAGTCACATGGCTTCATCTAATTGCAAAAGAATTTGGAAAAAGTAGCCTAAATCTGAACCCAGGAGGAAAAGGGAAATTATTGGTTTACAACCTTATAGTCTCTGCTACAGGAAAGTGTGACTGTCTTAAAACTAGGGAAGTAGGCAGGAACTAGAAAAGACAACTCGTGAGAAGCTAATTTGGGGAGCGGTTTCTTAAGAACAGCAGGGTGCATTGTTTCCTGAAATAAGCCATAAGATTTTGTGTACAATATTCATTAAAAATCTGTACATGTGTCAGTGATTATTGTACTTGAAATTTAAGTAGAAATATTTATTTGATATGTTTAATTTGTGTTGAAATATTTCTAAGCCTCAGAAAGTAATATAGTACTTCGGCATATGTAAAATATTTACTGTTTTAAACAAGAATTTTTATTCATTTATTACTGTGTTGTTACTTTTAGAACACTTCTGATTCTTCTGAAGTTGTATGGAGACTATCTATAAAAGAGGAGATGAAGAATAAGTTTTATGTTGTCCAATGAGCTCTACAAGCATTCCAGGCTAATGGACAACCATACAAATAATGAAAATATTCAGAACTTATTGAGCACATAGAGAACACTTTGCTTTACATGTGGGAACTGGAGCATTGAGAATAGCTTACTAGTACTGTATAAGTATATTAACTCATTTAACCCTCACAAAAACCCTATGAATGAAGCAGATATTTTTATTATTATCCTTATTTCATAGATTAGAAAGCTGAGGCCCAAAGAGGTAAAGTTGTTAGTCTACATAGTTAGTAAATAGCAGAGCTGGGATTCACATCCAATTAGTCTGACTTCGGAGGCCAAGATCATTTCTGTGATTCTCTACCTCTCTGAAACTAAAGCCAAAGTGAAGAGACAGGAAAAACGATTGGAACTTCATCTGTACATTTGCACTAAGGTAGGCTTCAGACAGCTGTTTGGAGCATAAGCAATGCCTTTTGGCTATAATACTTGGTTTGTTAAGCAATGGCAGAATTTATTAATCATGCCTCCCCCTCCCCTGGCCCCCACCAACACCCTACCACCTTTTTATTAAGGCCTAGCTTTTGCCAAACTATTTATTCTTCCAGATACTGCACCTGTCTTGGCATAGGTAATAACATAAGCAGCTCTTGAATTTCCTGGAGAACTGCAGAGTACATTAATGGAAGAGAGAAGGCAATTCTTGTTTTGGTTACACATGTAAGCAATTTATTTTTCTTTTGTAGACAGAACTGTCTTCGTGGATACAGATCTTCCATTTCTCAAAGGCCTCTATGTGATGGGGACTTTAGAATTCCCTGTGGACAGAAGCAACATTCTGAGTGTGGCATGCATGGTCATCGTAGGTGGTGAGCTGAAAGTTGGTGAGTAATGGGCATCAGGATTGAGAGCATAATGAGAATTAAGCTCTGTGAGAAAGGCCTTGGGAAATGATGGTATCATCCAGCAGTTTGCTTAATGGAGTTTGGGGAGGATTAAGGCAGTGAGTTTACTAGTAAAGCTTTTCTTTGGCAAGCTTTAGACAGAGATAGAGGTGACTCTTATTGGTTATTCTCTCATGTCCACCTACTGTCATCAGGCCATGTTTCTGGCCCCATGCTGCGGCTCATTCCAGGGCTCTTTTTGCCTCCTCCAGGCCACAGATCAATTCTCCCTTTATTTCTTTGTATGAAAATTTACCTGCAGCTCACTTTTTCAAATGATCTCATAGAATGGATTTGTTATCCTTTGATCAACTAACTCACAATAAAATTTCAGTTGCTATCTTAATACAGATCCTTGAAAAAACAAACTTGAAACAAAGCTTATGTGTCAATGCTTTACTGGGGCAAATAATCACAGCGAAGTGGGAGTAAAGGGAAAAGAAATGAAGAAGAAAAGAGAGAAAACAAACACAAGGTGGCCACAGCTTCTAAAAGGAAACATGGCTGTTTGCTTGGCTATGTGACATGCCTTGAGAGAAGCCTTTATAGAACCACTACATCCTGGGACAGTAGTGGAGAAAGCTTGGGAGAAGGCAGATAATTCACCTGGTACACCCTCAAACCCATTAACTCCTCTGTCTTTCTTTGTTATGTTTTGTGGCTACCTATGCAGCTAGTGGAGGGGTAAGAAACCCAGTGGGTGCTGGGAGATGAGGCTCCTCCATTTGGGAAGTGAGGTATGTTGTTGACACCAAGGAACAGGCAGGGTGGAGTGGATCTGGGGTAGTGTATTAACCAGGACTGGTCCACTGGTTTTTTAAAATTAAACAAACAAACAAACAAACAAACATGAGTTGTTATAGGTTGACTGTGTACTTGGAACTGTTGTAGGCAATAAGTGTACTGTGATGAAAAGACATGTGTCCTGCTCACAAAGGGACTACTTTTGAACTTAGCGAGGCATTCTATTTTTGCTCCCCAAAAGGAGATTAAAACAATTCCCAGAAACAATAATACCTTATTCCAAAGATATAAGTCTCTGATGGTGAGAAAATATTTAGATACTGTTGTTCAGTAGCATTCAAATTTTAAAATCTCTGGTGGGAAAAAATTCTAGACCTAACTACTGTTAAAACTTAATCACTATAAAAAGATTCCTGAAAAATTGTGATCAAACCTCTTCTTGAATTGTTTCAGTGACAGAAAAATCAAACATTTTGAGACAACCTGTTCCTGCTTTTAAAAATCCTATTAGAATTATTTTCTTTCTATTAAGCCAAATTCTGTCTTCTTCTAATTTTTATTGGTTCAGGTTCTTCTATTTGATCCATATAGGATAACTGTCAAATTCCCTTATCTTTAATAGCCCTTCATTCACATTTTCTCAAATCTGCTCTTTTTTAGATTATACAGTTCCTATCATTTTAACCATAATTAAATAATAGTTACTTTAATCATCATCATCATCGTTATATAGTTTTATCATTTTAATCATAGTTATTGATGTTTTAAAATTCGTTTTATTTTTTTCAGTCTATTGTGCAAAACAAAAATACAGAAAAGCAATAGAAGGTTATGTAGTAGAAATGAAGTAATCACTCATATTCCTAAATGTAAAGATAATCACAGTTAACATTTCTTAGTCTTGTCTTAATTTTTTTTTCCTACATAGTTTGATAATCTTTTGAATCTTATGTTAACAATGTAAAAATTTCCTCAACTCATTCTATTTCCAAAATGTAATCTTTTAAATTAAATTTATTGGGGTAACATTGTTTAATAATATATAAATTTCAGGTGTACGACTTTATAATACAACTGCAAATTTTATTGTGTGCTCACCACCTGAAGTCTTCTTCTGTCACCTTGTATTCGATTCCTTTTATTTTCTCTATCTTTCCCATACCCCTCCTTCTCTCTGGTAACCACCATTCTGTTGTTTGTATCTATGAGGGTTTTTTTTGTTAGTTTATTTGTTTTATTTGTTTATTGCTTTCTGTTTTAATCCCACACGAATGAAATCATGAGATTCTTATCCTTTCCCATCTGAATTATTTCACTTAGTATAATGCTCTCAAGATCCATCGATGTTGTTGCAAATGGCAATATTTTATCTTTTTTACGACCGAGTAGTATTTCATTGTATATATATACCACATCTTCTTTATCCAGTCATTCAGTGAAGGACATTTTGATTGTTTCCATGTCTTGACTATTGTAAATAATACTGCAATGAATATAGGGATACATTTATCATTATGAATAAATGTTTCCAACTTTTTCAAGTAGATACCCTGAAAAAGGATTGCTGGGTCATATGGTGGCTTTATTCTTAATTTCCTGAGGAAACTTCATACTGTTTTTCATAGTAGCTGCATCAATTTATACTTTCACTAGCAGCATGTAAGGGTTCCCTCTAAGACACAATTTTAATAGTGTTAATATTTCATATCTATGTGAATATATACATATACATACATGTATAATAATCTAGTTAATTATTTTACTGTTGTTGAACATCAAGGTTATCTCATATATTTTTTGCCCTTGTAACTTACTCTGCAATGAACATCTTAGCATTTAAATCATTATTCATATCTCTGATTATTTCCTTAGAATAGACTTTTATAAATAGAGTTAATGGGCCTAAGGATAAGTGCATGTTTTAAGATCCTTGGTACATACTGTCAAATCACTTTCTAGAAAGATTTTACAAATTTGCATTCTCTCCACATTTCTCAGAATTACGAGATCTCCTCACACTTCCTAACACTTGTCTAATTTCTCTGAAAGTATGAAGCCAAGGGGAAAAGACAAGAATAAGAATAAGACCTGACTTATTCTGAACAGAATGAAACAAGTATAGTAGTTAATAGCACTGGCTCTAAATCAGACAGCTTGGGATCACATCCAGCTTGTCCACCTATTTTTTGTTTGGCCTAAAACAAATCAACCTCAAGACACCGACATTCCTTCATCTGTAAAGTATATGGCAACAATAAAACCTAATTTGAAGGGGTGTTGAAACCCTTAAACATAATGGCTCCTACTAAAAGCGTGGCACATAATAGGTGTTTAGTAAATGTTAATCTGTCAGGGTACCTGCAGGAAATGAGTATCATACTATATTGGAGAATTTGAATAGATTTTGATAAAGAAACCATTTACAAAATCCAAATGTCATACCCCAGGGCTAGTAACAGCAGAGAATCCTTACCATGTTTTTCCCTAAAGGAATAAGGAAAGGAAGTCATCACCAGAATCAGAGATGGAGGAAGAGGAGTGGTGCTGGTTGCCAGAGTGCAGCATGAACTTTTGAATGGCTGGGGCTCACTCAGTGCCAGGAAGAACCTATGCGAATACATAACCTGATCTCACTCTCTCCTCTCTTGTTTCTGGTTCATGCTATCATTTGGGCAAACCCAAGTGCAGGGCTGCAGCATCCGGGGGCACTGAGCAGAGTAAAGAAGAGAAGTGTCTAGAAATGAAAGCTCTTTAGCACAGTCAGTTTCCATCAACTATAACAGATACAATTCTCCTACTAATACAGCCAAAGATTAAACTGACTTCTTTGTCTGTGTCATGCTGCTGGTCCTATCAACTATATTGTCAACTGTAATTTCTACTCTTTTTTATATGTGCTGCCTCAAATACATATCTACATTGTATACTTGCATAGGAATTATTTAGTTTTCCTTTGGGTTTTAGGGACATCTAAGTACAATATTTTTTACTTAATTCTATATTTTGTTATTTAAATTTGTATTTCCACAATGGGGAAATTTGAGGGGTTCGGATCTTTTTCTCCCAGATTAATATCATTTGCTCATTTGTTAAATAGTCTATAAAATTTTTATCCAGTTAACTGATAGAAATAGTAAATAAAACTGAGCCTTGTTCTTGTTACTAGAAAACTTAATTCAGGCTGACATTTTCTGTTGTTAAGATTGGTCTTTTTTTTATTTCTGGAGGTACTTATCACTATAGCAAAAACTTATTGCCTGAAAATCTATACCTTTGAAGGGAAGTGCCACTGAACCACTGTCCAATTTCTATTTATACATTTCAAATCTTATTTTCAAATTTATCTATTTCTAACTATATTTTTATTTATCACTAGACGATGGCGTATTCTTTTTTCTCCTGGCTTTGTCCATGTGTTTCAGGCCTCAATGTTGATTATTGGTTCCCATCTGCCCAATCCTATGTGTATTATGCCTGAAGGAAGACTTTCAACCCATCTGTCTAATTCTACCACACTCTAAAGAAATCCCAACATGAAATAGATAATAAGACTAGTTAGCAAATAAACTTAATAGATGTGGACATTGGCCCAGAACATTGCCAGAGTACGTCTGCTATCTGATGCCATTTGATCTGAGTCCCAACATTGTGGAATTATATCTCTTGGTGGTCCTGCTTTTAAGGCAACTGGTGCTGGCAAAAGATATCAGTTGACTTTTAGAGTAGAATGATAATGCTAGCATTAGAAGGAAAATTTAAGATCAAAGGTTTGCTTAGAGGGCTACAGCTGCATCACAAATGCCAAACTCAATTTTATTCCTTGTTCAGTGGTTGTCTCATTAGTTTGAAAAAACACTTAAAATAAACTTTAAAGTGTTTTACTTGTGTGTCCATTCTTTCATTCATCATCTGTTTGCTCATTGCCTAACATGAACCAAGTACCATGGGAGAAGTTGGAAGTACAGAAATAGAAGTCATGAACCTAGCTTTCAAGAGATGGCTCAGTGAAGTAGTAGACTAACAAAAACCTAATTGGAAGTGTCATCTCTTCCAACTTAGAAGGGACTCAAAGATAAAAGAAGAGATATGAAAAGGCTTATATTTATGGATGAGCATTATACTGTCAGGAAATTATAGGGAATGAGTATGTCTGGATTTAGGCTTTATAGAATTGTGGTAGCCAATGAAGCGTCTTG